CTGCTGCTACTGCTTCTACTACTACTTCTACTAGTAGCTACTGCTACTGCTACTGCTACTGCTACTGCTACTGCTACTGCCACTACCACCCACCACGACCACGACCACGACCCACGACCCACGACCACGACCACGACCACGACCACGAGCACGACCACGACCACGACCACGACCACGACCACGACCACGACCACGACCGCGACCACCCACTACCACTTGTACTACTAGTGTTACTGCTACTACTACGACAACGACGAACACCACCAACACTACCGCTACCGCTACCTCTACATTACTGTCACAGGCATGTCGACAGTAGCAGCACATGCTGTTGTTCGCAATGTCACTTCCATGTCTGTTCTCCTTTGACATGACGATCAACAATATGTAGGACGTAGCACATTGACACAGAAACTGTTGGGCATTGCTACTGCAGAGTTCGCACTTTCCTGTCCGCTTGCGAAAGGTGTCGGAGGTGGTTCCCTCAACGGAGCTGGAGGCCTCATCAGGGCATTGCGGTGTTGTTTTGGGCTAGGATGCGGGTCATCGTGTGTCGAAGTCAAAGGCAAAAGAAAGCGCCACTGCCGATCTCAAGGAAGACCTCCTGGCTTCGGCCTGATCTCGGACGGGACTAGACATGTTGCTGAGTTCCAAGGTACCTGGCGCTTCTGATGTTTTGCCAAGGTCATGAAGGCGAGAATTACGAATGTCGAGGAGCCAGGGGTGGAAACTAGTTGACGCCTCGAGGTCAGAATGTCAGCAAGACATGGACAGTCTACGATGTGTGGCCATCGTCGTCGATCTCATCCTGAACGGCTCCGGAACCTTGCACAGAAAAACCGTAACAACCCAACAAACAAGCAAGCAAGTACGCAAACAAGCAAACAATCACACGCACAGACACACCCACATTCACCAACATACCACGCAACTACAAGACACGGATCCGAGACGCAGACACATGTGCACACTGCCACGTACTTCACAACTTGACACCTGTAGCAGCCATGTCGATGAGAACCTTGATCACCGTTCTTTTCTACTTATTGTTCATTCGACAACCTGCAAGGAGACAGAAGCGGTGCTTCTCGGACGCAAGGCACAGCTCGTGGCCGAGTCCGCTATGCTGCGCATGGAGCTGCAGGTCAGCGTTTGGAGCAGGGCCAACTTTGCGGTTGGAGGTGTTGGGTGCCGTGGCCAGTATGTCACGTGTTTTGCAGCCTCACGCCTTTCTGTGCACGCTCTGCTTTAGACAAAAGACATTGCTCACCAAGTCCGTAACTCGTGCTGGGCGTCGAGAGTGTGAACACCGACAAACGGTCCTCTTCAGCAAGTACTGAGCACCTTCAAGTCGACAACCTGTACCCCGAAATGCACTTGGAGCATCGCTTGAGTTTATCCACGCCACCCCGCCTGCTAACAGACTATGTGCTGTACGAAGCATGGTTTCTCAAACAGAAAGGGACGCTGTGGGGGCCCAGTTTTTCCACACACCAGGTTTTGCGATGTTTTGTGGATTGTAAAGTGGATTTGCGGGATTTCTTATTGTATTGAAATGTTTTTATCTATACAGGAAGGACTGTTGCGTGGGATGGAAACTGCTCTGGTTTGTACCCGTTCGAGATGTTCGTTGATATAGCTTCAGGGCGGTTGGGCGGAAAGTTGCCCGGAGCTCCGAAAAACCATTCGCCTGCCCATCAGCAGCCGGCCGCTCCTCCCTCATGTAGGCTGTACTTCTTGCCCGATAGCTCGACCACAACATACTTTGTACACATAGCCTTCTTGAGCACCTGCCTTGAGCGGCGCTGATGGAGGGCTGGCCCTAGCTCACCCTAGTCGCTCTCTGGTCTTTCTTCTCATTATCCTCCCGGGGCGCCGGCGGCACTATCTCCACCCGCCGTAGACCCGTGCATAGATATCCGAGCCTTCCGGCTTCCAACGACCAAGCATATCCCTTCTGCTTCGGTGGGTGGCACGGCTCTCTCGCTATGCTCGGTCCAGCAGCCTCTGACCACCGCTGCAAACCCAATCACCGCCACCGTGTCCACTCTGGCCGTTCTCCTTCAGTCGGGGCCATCAGGTAGTCCCGCTTATAGCCAGCCTAGCCCTTCAACAGGTTGAAGCCCTCGCAGACGGGTAGCTCCTTGATCCGTCTGTTACTTTCAGTGGTCTTTGTTCGGCGCAGGATCGTGCTTAGCCTTCCGTCTATCAAGCTGAATTCCGCCAGGATCCTAACCTGGAGGTTCGACCAACGAAGGCTAGCCCAGACCTTGACAAGCTTTCCCGAAGCCCAGATTCGCCCCCCAATCCCTCGGGCGGTATCCATGACCAGCCTCTCAAACTTGACCAAGAAAGCCGCAGAGTGATTACTGGGAGGAGCAGAAAGACTGCTGGATCAGGCACCACGTGCATCCTCGGAGGACGACCTTTCATCCGGGAACATGCCGTCCGGAGCAGATCTACATGACCTGACGGAAGACCGGAAGACCGTCAAGTTCGAGAAGGCGAACGACAACACGGTCCGCAAGGAGATCGTCGAGGACAAGTGGTCAGGGTAAGCAGGTCGTGATTTATCACGATCGAAGGCTCTCAGAGACGGAGAGTCCGGCAATGGCGACGGTGGCTTCGTGGAAGAGCTGCAGGTTGAAGCGGACGACGGTGGACACCCTGGCTGCCGAAAGTGACGGACTGGAGAGCGGTCGCTTCCTTTTCTAGCAGCTGTAGATTCGAAGTCATTGTATGATGCAGTGAACAAGTGTGCTTGTACAGCGTCTTATGTGAGCTATAAAAGAACTGCCATTGATCTGGCAGTGATCAAACCGGATTTGGCTGGAAATCAGTCCCGAAATGAAGGCATGTTCCATGCGTGTTAAATATCAGTTCCATGCTTGAGCTGGCGCTTGTTTTCCTTAATCGTTCTAAGTTTGCATCCTGTGATTTCCGAGTTTATACTCCTGAATTTCTGGTGTTTTCCGAATTGGTCCTACGACACATTGAGGTACTCAGCAGGGTTTGTTGTCTGGTTGCCGGCAACAGCCATATCACCCAAAATCATCCCGGAAGCAAATCTTCAGGAGCTTAAACCCCATAAACCGTAAACAAACTCTGGGCATTGACAAATTGAGCAAAGGGCAGCCACCCATTGGCAGGAGCAGCGATCCACGAATCAAGGTTGGGGACAAGGCCGCCTCAGCGAGCCTCTGCCGATTGCGGGCATGGTTGTTTGATTTTGGATGTAGCGGGACGGGGTTTGGGTGAGGGAGGTGGCCTACAGGGTCCAGCTGCCTGTGGCAAGCAGACAGCTTGCCGAAAAATGTTCGAAGTGTCAAGGGCAAGGTGTCACATGCAAGTTCCATGTGGGAAGCAGGGGGGCTGATGCAGAGTTTTACGACGGCAGCAAAATGCGCAGAAGGCACAATGGGTCGTTAGATATTGTTGAGTACGGATTAATATGGCGTTAAAGCTGAACTGCTGCGCACCTATATCGTAAAGGGCACATGCGCTGCAAATGCTGTGCTGACGCCTGATGCCTCAAGTCAATGATCTCCTCCTAGGATTCTGCGCAGAAGCACCAGATCCGCGAGGAGCAGGATGGGGGGTTGTTCTCCTCCGGTCGGTAAAACTTAACTTAGGCTGAGAGTTTGCCCAAGCAGACGTTCTTTGGCTACAGTCGCAGTCTTGCAAATTCCATGTCTTTCAGCTTCTAACTTCTTGTGCGTTCCGCCTCCTCTGCCCCCTGTAGGATGCGCGATAGGTGCGATAACGGTGCCTGCTTCGCCAACTGTCTAGTCTAAAGTCAGGAGAATTCCCTTCTAGTTTCCAGTGCCAAGAGCTGGCTGTGAGTATCACAAAGTGTTCATGGTTGTGGATGTGGTCGGGGTGGACGCATTAAATTATGCGTGCTGACATGGTTTCACTCATTGTGGATGTGGCCGGGTGGACGCTGTTTTGGGTGCCGGCATGGATTCCCTGATACCTATGCAAGCACCTTTGCTTCTTGACGTGCTCGTGATGACGATGACTCTGGAAGGATGGCGGAATCTTGAGGCACTCGATTAATTAGCGGTCCCGTTCCCCATTGCCATGAAGCTCCTCGTTCGTGAAGTAGGGGCCGTCTACCTGCTTGAAGTTAGCAGACTTGCTCAGAAGATGGGTCTGCTTGGGATCATATGTTGCGCACCTGCCAGGTGCAATTCTGTAGCTCTTCCCACTCGGGGCGATCTCGGAGCACACTCGATCCTTGCAGGAGCACTATCGGAACCATGGCGAGGAGCTGCAGGCATGCGAAGCGTTCGGGGTTTGTCCTAGCCCTTAGCGAAGTAAGCTTTGATGAAGTTCTGCTTGTACTATTGCCTGCATCTATGGGATTCAGCAAGGTGCAGCTGCTCAATGATGAGGCACAGCTGCAATGGGCTGCTGCCCGGCAGAACTGGCATTTGTTGGAGTTCGTTTCTTGAGATTTTCTCGCGGCTTCTGGAAGGTATCGTGCACGACAGAATTTGGATGACCAAGTCTCACGGTCAGTATCCCCGATTGGTTAGAATCCGCGGGCAGCATCTCGTAGCATGTAGCAGATTGCTGCCTCCAGTGAGCCCGATACTTAAGGCTTCTCGTTTAGAGACTCGGCTTCCAGCTCTCTTCACGACTTCGAGAACCTGCGAGAGCCTCCCTCCAAGCCTCTAAGGTCGCGGCGACTGCTCAAGCCAACGAGGAGTTCTGGTCTGCTTAGACCAGCACTAGAAGCTTTCCAGGCTGTTTTGAAGGGGCGTGAAACCCCAAACTCCGACATTTAGTTAGTGATGACCATTTCCAT